CGTCGTCTCGGAAAAGGCCTGCAACGCCGCCAAGAAAAAGCAAACAGGTGGGCGAATTCTTCTAGTTCGTTTTGTTGGTTGCAATTCACGTGGGATTCGGGATACCACTCATATCTTAGGTCGGCCAGCGTTTTGCAGCAGTCGTTCGCGGCACACATGATCGTACAATTCGCGATTAGTTCGCGTTGCCGAAACCTAAACGCCCCAGCTTTCGCCGGATCGATCCGGACGCGGATAAAAGGCTCCGGAGCTTTTTTCCGCGCTTTCCGGAAGTGTGTTTCGGGCCGATCCATTGTTGCGGGTTTTCGGCGGAGCTTTGCAGGCTCAGACTGAGTGATTTGTGTTCGATTCGAGCCGACTTGGTGTAGGTGGTCTTCGTTTGATGCTGTGAAAGTTGGATGTAGCACGTGTGCGTTGCGCTTTTTTGCACGGAGCTTTGTTGGCAGATGGGTGGATGTGCTCGGTACCGTGTGGGGGGAAAGGGTCGGTTTAATAAGGTAATTGGAAAAAATTACAAAAATGTGGAACTTTTTTCCCGTGGAAGCTCGCGATATAGTGGAAATAGTAGTCGGAGAGAGATCATCGGCATAGAAACGTCCCCGAACTGTAGTCATTTAATTTTCACAACACTCCTTTCATTGCAATTATGATTATTCTACCTGCGATTTTAAGATTATGTTAAGTCTTTTGTATATTGTTCTATTTAAATTTTTTTGGCAAAATATCGAGCAGATCCAGGTTTTTTGTTCGATTGTCTATTCTTGTAATTTCTTTTTTCGAAAATTATACAAGGTGGCTAACGAGTTTCGGATCCAAGCTTTTGTTCTAATGGTTCTTTTAGCTGATTACCATGTAACAGTTTATTAATATTTTACGAAAGCTGGTAGAAATAACACTTTGTACATAATGTAGTAATGAGTCATTAAGATCTCAGACAAAATTTGAAATATTTTTTATAATTGAAAGGAGATATATTTTATGAACCATTTGAGAACTTTTGGTTGAATGTGTGAAAGCTATGACATCATCAGTATGGTTTAATGTCAACGTTAAGGTTGCATCGATTTTTAAAAAGTTCTCTTAAATTGTAGCATAAGCCAAGGAAGTATTGTAATCCAATCCATCGAACGACTGGCTACTTGTATGGTTTGTCGACGTTTCATGACCCATAGAGTACTAAATAATCGGTCTTCTGTTTCCGTCTGTCTGTCCGCCGTGTCTGGCGGTTTTTATTGGACAGATAGTCTCCGAAACTACTGGAACGATTGTTGTCAAATTGTATATGGATGTTAAGAATTTCGTACAGATGGTAAAATGGTCCCCAAAATTCGTCGAATTATCCCCACCAACAATGTGATGTCATCTCCAAAATTTACAATAATAAATCTTATTTAAATTTTATACCACCTGGTTAAGATTTAAACATTTTTTGGTAGAAGATATTGATGTCAGTGTTTTCGGTTTCAAATACTGTATAATATAGTACTATGAAAAAATTGGTCGAAGATTATTTCGACAGAACTTCTCTTGCATCGATTTTTTGCTTGAATTTTTCAATTCTAAAATTTTTCATTTTTTTTTCTTCAGTTTTAAAATTTAAAATTTTCAGTTTTCCAACTTTTGATTTTTTCAATATTGTGCAATTTTTCGGTTTTTTATTTTAGTTATTTTTCCACTTATTCGATTTTTCAGTATTTCGATTTAATTGTTTTTGTTTTTTCCATTTTGATTTTTTCAGTTTCTGGTTTCTTCAATTTTTCGATTTGCAATTTTTCAATTTTTTTTTGTTAGTACTTGCTAAGATAAGACTGATTTTAGCAAATCACATATCCTCTAAAAAGAAAGGGCGGGTGGGTGGGCCTAGTACTTGCTATGATAAGACTGATTTTGGAAAATAACAGACACTCCGAAAATAGAGGGCGGGTGGGTGGGGCAAAACCGAATGCTTTGAAATGTTGCAGAAGTTTTAAAGTTACCCAAAGCAAGGTAAATTTGTAATCAAAATATATTTGTTGATCCCTCTAAAAAAAATTGATGACGCCATCTCAAAAGAAATCCTATCTAAAAAGTGCAAAATATGGTGATCGTATACTTGTGATTTATCATTGCCTTTATATTTTTTAGAATTGTTTATATAGGGCGTCTCAAAAAAAGTAATGAATGAGTCAATTGATTTTATTAATAAAATCAGGAACTGCAAAGGCGAATGAATTCATTTTACATCAGCTGACTCATCTTACCCAACTCAAGTTCGCCTGACCTGACTTGGTTCGACCTAACTTGTCTTAACCTGACCTGACTATACTTAGCTTAACCTAATCTCTGGCCTGCACTAGCGTGGTCTGACTTGGGTCGATATAACCTTACTTAGCCTGACCTAACTTGACCATACTTGACTTGGCTTGACTTGACTCGACTTGACCATACTTAGCCTGACCTGATTTGACCTCGCTTGACTTGATCTGGTCTGATTAACTTGAGTTGACACCCTGACCTGACTTGACTTAACTTGAAACGATCTAAACTCAGAAGAAGTTTCTTAGTATCTTAGCATTCCTAAATGAAAATAAACATATCAAAACCAACACTTCATCTGACCTGACTTAAGTCTACATCACGCGGTCTTATTTTACCTGAATTAATTTTTTCACCTGGCCTGACTTGACCTGACCTGATCTGATCTGACTTTACTCTACAAAACAATTTCGATGAAACAAATCATCTGACCACAACCCCACTTGTGCACACATTTTGATAAAGTAATTACGATTAAAAATCAAGGCGGATTTATAAACCACAAGTGTATGAGTATATTATTTTTAAAAATTTAAGCGATGTGACGTCATCCAAGTGTTAGTGAAGTTAACTAGACAAATTTTCGTTAGCATTTTACCATTCACACGAAATTTTTGACATACAACTAAAATTTGGTCCACTAGTTTCGGATATTATTTGTCTAATCAAAATCGACACAGACGGCAGATAGACAGACCCTCGAGAAGTAAAAGGCAGGTTCCCGTTTCCGTCGGTCTGTCGTTTATTGTTAATTGATAATTTTATAATTTTACTGAGAGGGTCATCAATGTCAACATGTTTAAAAAAATGTATATTGAACTGTATTTTCATTGAACTAAAAATAGTTTTTATTTTAACAATTGTCTAATTTTTCCAATAATACGCAAAAAAAAACGTTCCGAAAAACTAAACTTGTTTGAAATTAATAAATTCCAAAAATTATAAAGTTATAAAATTTTAGTAATTATTTCGTTTAAATGACTAATATTAGCCGGCAAATAAACACTCCGGGACATCCAACTAGCGAATTCGGGTTCTTGATAGGTTAATTAATTGGTAGCAATACGTCTTGAGCCTGAATCCCGTAAAGCTTTTCGTCAGCTCCTCCATCATGGTGGTAATTAATGCGTAATGAAGACAACTCGAACTACCCTCATGGGAACGTCAATCGGTCTTCTAAATGGTGTTTGAAATTCTTGCTTTGTTTAAGCATGAGGAGCGAAGTTTTGTACGACACAATCCCACATTTCTCACGAAAATAGTTCCATTTACTTGTTTTTCTCCTTGCTTTCTCGAGCTTTTGTGTCGTAGCGGTAAACGTGATTTTCTACCGGTGTAAGAACCTTTCGCGATGAAAGTATATATAATTGAGTTTAATCTGAAAAAATGATAAAGACAGTGTGAAGTGAACGTTAAACACATTAAGATCATGCAGCCGCCTACTTGGCCACATTTGGTAAATTGCTTAAGTTCGTATATGGATTAATTCAACAAAAATGAAACTAGTTATGTTTTTTTCTTTTTCTAGAACGTTGATTACTTCAAATCTTTTACCTATATTGACATTCAGAGTTCTCGTCTCCGCTTTAATCCAACCCAATTTACTGAAAATTCCTGCAGATTCATTCGATTTCTCCACTCAGACACAAACAACTTAATGAGAATCCCGTTCATTTGAAGAAATTTTTCAAAGTCATTCATCCACCTGTTCGACCTTCAGCAACACGTTTCGACGGTGTGGTCCTACAATTACCCAGATCAAACACCTCTAGTAATTAGACTACAAGATCCAGGTTAAAACCGATGCACGCAAGCCTTCTTGCATGATCACCGCTTATCTATTCATCATCGCGTTCTTCCACCAGATCTTTCGGATATTAATTGCGCACTACCTGTTCGAAATCGCCTTTTAATCGCCCAAACTTTAACCTTGCGGTTTCCGGCTTTCGCTCTTCTTCGAACAGGATGAAATTATCGGTGATTATGCATTTTACATCGAAATTGATCTAAAGATGCCTTGTTCTCCCCCATTGAATTTCAAAAACAATGCGGCCATTAGAGCGACGTGTGTTGAATACGTGTGTCCGCCCTGCCTGAACTTTTAAGACCACACAAAGTGCTCAAATTCCCTCAACGATATACGAAATGTGTCTCTAGTTTCCACGATATTGTAAATCACTGAACACATGTTAGCTGTCTTTCCGACGTCTATTCTAGGATTGGAGCAATTAGAGTAATGTTTCAAATTGGTTCATTGCGCGACAGCTGCTCGAACGGCAAACGTAATGTCGTGTTGAAGTATTCAGAATTGGCTGTCGTTTTACCAAGAGGTAGCTAATCTTTATTGCTAATTATATCTTGTAAAAGAGTATGTTATTATCGGGGGGAAATCATCAAACAAAGAAACGCTTTCACAAAATTTTTGGGTACGTCCCTGCCACGAGATTCTACCTGCTACCGATACAATGTCATTTAGAGATCGCATTTTACGATAATACGTTTTAATAAAACCTTGACAAATCGGTCTTAAGAAAAATCTCCAAACAAAGTGACTTTGACTGTTATTTTTCGATACACCTTATCTTCCCCGTCCAAAATTGTTTTGAATACATAGATAGCAAAGTCGTGTAAGACGGTTGTTCAACTCGAGCGCCCTCCTTACACGATACATTTGCACCAGATATACTCAGACCCAGACCTTTTAGGATTTAAAAACACTCTGAATGTGCCGTGCTCTGTGACGATGCTCGCGTAGAAATAGACTCAAAATGGCGACGATCTGTTTCCGACCTCCACCTTTACCCCCAAACAAGAAGTCCCAACTGAACATCAATCGTTATCGCAAACAAAACAACGGTCTCCTGTCTTCGACATATCTCAGCTTTCGAGATCCGGCGGAAGACGAAATCTTACACGTCGAGGAGATCGAGCTGAAGAACTTAAAGTGCAAAAACTCGAACAAAAAGTGCAAAAAAGTGGTGCATACTAACTCGCTGAGTCGTTGCAAGGATACGAAAACCATGCTGATAAGGAGCCACTCGGATGGAAACCTGAACAAGAAGGAGCCTATCGCTCCCATGACGATCAATAGATACATCAAGGTGTTGAGCGGAAGCTGGAAGAATTTGCTCAATTGTAAGTGTAATTTATTTACGTTGGTAATGGGGTTGGTAATTGAGTGATTGTGAGATGCTTGGTGACTAATTGTTTAACGGGAAATCTCTGCTAATTATCGACGACGAGTTGAGTTCAAAGTCTACAGATTTATTGTTGCGTTGCACAATTTGGTTTCTAGTGACTGATCTCCATTGTGTGAGAGTTACAAAGGTCGAGGAATCTTCAATAAATACTGATTAATCTGCAATCAAACTGGGGATGACCTTAGACAATGACAACATTAAATCTGGCTGCGGGTGGGAGACGATGACCATAATTGCGAGCAAAACAAAAATCGGTCGTAGGATGTGGTGACAGAAAAACTAGTTTTATTAATATTCATCTTTCCAAGTTCAGTGTTCACCTCATAATTGTTTACAAATTTTCTCACCTTTGTAAGATGTAATGAAAATGAAAATTCTGGCTTAAATGTGATCATATGCATGAAACCTTTATGACGCGACTAATAGTAATAAGCGTTAGTGTTATTTTACGCTTTGTATATTTGTCGTTTCGCCAGAATCAATAAACAAAGTTTGATGTCGTAATGACGTTACAACGGCGCCTAAAAACCACCATGCGCTACTAGTGTGACATAACCGCAACATGTGTCAAGCAGAAAGTCTACAAATATTTATCAGGTCATAGCTCTGAATGTATACCATTTCGTTTCAGGACCTAATAGGTTAACACCTCCCGAGTGATAAAATTATCACCAAATGATCTGGGTGATTTATTATGGGTCAATAATTTAACGATTACCTGCTGTTTGGTTCGTAATACCATAATAGACTGATCTTCCCTCGCACGATATATTACAACACTAACTCGATTTAAGATTTATGGTTCTCTACCCTCATCATTATTTTTTTATTCTGTAAGTGACTTAAAAGAAGATAATAAATTTTCGTCTTGTGGTTGTATTTTGTGAAAACTGTACCATAATCAGAAATCCAATCGAATATGACATCTACATGTGTACAAGTCATGAATAATTTAAACTATCAACGCCGCGCTGGAACGAGAGTAGACTCAAATCTTTAGATAAATTTTCCGGAATGATTTGCTCTTATCTCGTCAATCTTTAAATCTACAGACTCGTTTTTTCTCATCCTGATTGATACGACTGCCAATTCCACTTTATTGAATAAGAATCCGGGGATTTTAAAAGCTTTTTAATTAAACTTTGTCCGACTATAATTTTCTTAGTTTAATTGAAGAACGCTTTTCTCGTAACTTTGATAGAATATTTCATAAAAGACTCGCTCTTATTAATTTTTTCTTTTTTTGCTCCGCGATCGTTTAATTTCGCCGGGACGTAATTTGCAATTTTCGTCCAAAACGCTTAATAAACATTTTCGGAGGCAAATTATCTCGAAATTAACACAACTTTTCGCAATATGTACTCTCGTGATTACGAAACGCTTCGGATCACCATCCAGTGTGTGGGTAGTTTTCTGCGAGCGCTTTCTTTTAACGCTTCTACGAAAATCCGTGAAATTTGTGTCGGCACAAATAAGGCAAATTGCGCAAATTATTTCGTCCGAAATTCACCAGCTCTGACTTAATCTAAACAAGCGTGTATGATAAAAGTGATTTAGAAATATTCATGCGATGCCGGTGGCGTGCGATATAATTTCCCTAATTTCCTACATAAATCATAACATGACTTGAAAATAATTGTTTTCGGGAATATTTCAAGTAATAATCGTAAATCGCCAGCAGTTATCGGCGGCGGTTGGCCAAAAAATAAAGCCGGAATTGCCGGAATACTCGATTCGAGCAGTGGCGTGCAAGCACGCAACAACCGGGTAAGCTCCTGACGTCGTAAAGGCAGCTTTAAACTCTTAGTGAACATTAATACTTCACCTTTTACCAAACGTACCGATCCGGGCGACTAAGGGCTTTTCGCACTGGATGTAGCCGCATTAAGGGCCGTATTTCACGAAGTTTGTAGCCTGTTTAGTAACTATTCCGTGCATATCCTGCCGTCCGTCGGCGCTATTGTTTCGCGGAGTCTGCAATGCAGATACATTACAGGCCGGATGCGATATTCTGTGTTGATAAATTATAGGTGTGTTCTATAATATTGCCATGCACAAATCACTTTATTGTGACATTTCGTGCCCGTGATCCAATCGGCTGGAACATCGGGCGCGCGGATCTTCGCAGGAAATCGTCCTGATGATTTGACAGGGCGCGATTTTTTTATTTATTATTTCAAAAACTATAAACAGAACGCTAGAATATACAAAGGAAAAAATATCTGAAAAAAAAAATGTAAGTTATAGGTGTGACAAGGCCCCGTTGTTGGTCCTACTCCTTTTGTAGGATACGTAAATGATCATCGAAAATACGGCGTTATCATAGAAGACTGATTTATAACCGTTAAATTCGTGCTTTGGTCTGGCCGCTCTGTGTAGAGTATATTCACTAAGCACTCTGGGCGCTTAAGGGAGTATGTGGGAAACCAGCAAGTCGGTTCATTTGACTGTAAATTATTCTACAAGTATATCGAGCAAACCCGTCTTACACACCATTTTCCGTCCTGCTTTGATCGTGAAACGGTAAGAGAATTCGCTCAGATGGAATTCATGCCAGGTCATGAGTTTGATGGGCTAAAATAAAATTAATTAACCAGTCCGCGATAATTACTCTTCTTTTTTCCACATAATACTTCCTCGTCGGGTCGAACGTAAACAAAATGAGACCGTTTCCCACGAAATTATCAGGATTATGCATAAGCCATGATGCGATTGAATAACCATTATCGTCTGTCGATCCGCAACGGGAATTAATGTCATTTTAATTAGCATCGCGCTAATGATAGCAGCGCTTCCGGTAATTAACAGGTGATAAAAGCCAAAAGAACAATTCCGTTAAAATGCATAAAGGTAAAGTATCTCAGCACTCGCGAGAATGTTGCTACTTCATTACACGACATGTTACAGCTTAATTCAAGCATTCTCAGAGATATTCGAGTTGCTGGAGTGGTATTAGAATTTTTCTGTCGATATCTCCGGAAATTCCAACAACTTGTTCGATAGGGTGGGAGTTTAGACTCGGAGCCGAACAAATAAATAAGAGAAGAATGGAACTGGGACGGGGTTTGGCCCAATGGGCGAAACCGGTTAGGTGCCGCTTTGTAATTATTTTTTGACACTTTGATGAAGGAGATTCGACAGAAATTTCGAAGGATTTTGGAAACGATCTCGATTAAACAGGTGTTCGTGAGATATTAGATAAATCAAACCGCAGAGTGATAATTAAAAACTATTATATTTTTTTTATGATTTTGAAGTCCAAGTTTCTTAAAACTTTTGAAGCGAAGGAACGATTCATCAAATTTTTAAATTTCTTTATTTTGTTCCATTCCTCATTTTAAAAAATGGCAGGGTCCTCGAGATGGTTTCCTCTTCTTTAAAAAAAAAAAGACAGCTGGGGCCCTCGAGAAGGTTTCACATTCTTATAAAAAAAAGACAGTTGGACCTCCGAGAAGGGTTCGTGTTCTTAAAAAAAAATTTGTTGGGAGCCCCCGAGAAGGTTTCACATCCGTATTAAAAAAAAAACCACCTGGGACCCCCGAGAAGGTTTCACATTCTGAAAAAAAATGACAAAAATTTCCTTTGCCCTTGAAGTGTAGTCCGACAAATCCCGATTCTTTAAAATACTATAAAATTTTAGTTTGCGATTTTCGTTTTGTGATAACCTTTATAAAGTAAAAACTAGTGGAGCAGTTAACACCCTGCGCTCCGAACAAGTGTGGACAGTAGGAAATATATTTAAACAGAAAAAATGTAGATATTCTCAATATCTCAGTACATGCTTAACGTCTACTGACATGCTATTTTCTAAAATTTAAAGAACATTTTTCATTCTTTAGAATTGTGTATGTATTTACACGTACAAAATTTGACAACAATCGTTCCAGTAGTTTCAGAGATTGTGTCTAAAATAAGCCATGACAGAGGCAGACGGACAGATAGAAACAGGAGACTTATTTTTTCATTCTTTAGGGATCTTAGCTAAAGCTTATGCTCAGGAAGTAAAAAATGAAGTTCATATTCGTAATTAGGAATACAATAAATATGCAAAAATGTTGTTTAAAGTTTGCAAGCCTGTTTTTAAAGCAAGCCAAAGGACAATGAAATAATCCTTTGACAGATCGTTCAAAAATTTCAGAAAAGCAACAGCTCGCAATGAGAACTCTGAACAACCCCCGAATAGCTATTTATAGCCATGTCAGCACCAAATCATCTGTCTAAAATTCATTCATAAAAAAATTCGCACGCTTAAAAGATGTACATTATGTTAAACAGCTAATGAATAGGTTTACATTGGTAAACAAACAGTACTTAAAATTCAGATGGAGTACTACCAGGACTATCAGCTGAAATTTTTAACCGTGAAATTGCTTCAAATTAACTCATCAAAGCTGCTCAACTGTGGAATATTTATTACAGTTATTACAGGAATTAGTTATTTTATGCTTTTGTGAGCGAGGAAATTCCAAAGTTGTATCCTTACATTGTGGGAGCAAACTGGTAGCCAACTGTTCCAAAAACATTTGCGTTTTTTTTTTTCAGTTAATTGTAACAAGTGGAAAAACTTGACATTAAAATTTTTAGCAGTACATCTGTATGTACATTAATAATCTTTGTTTGGCTTCCGGAAACCTAACCTGCCTCTATCTGCCTTCCAAGCATAACGAATAGGATTTCTATGAAGTACGTTACGTCTGTTGACAATCTGTTCAGTATCTCCGACAGTTTATTTTTTTGTGTTGGATAAAAAGTGGCTGGTAGTAGCAAAGTCATTACGTCACCTACAGCGCACTTTGTGTCGTCTTCAGTCAGTTTAAGTGGCGCGATCCGCGTTGAAGAAGCAAAGAAAGCTCGAGTTAATTTATAGAAATGAAGTGCTGTGATATCCATCTTCGGGTTATTGTGTAACGGGATTCGTGGAGCTTTTTTGTCAAC